TCCTGTGACCTATAATTTGTTGTTAACACTATCTGCCTATATTTTTAAGAGTTTTTTTTCCTCATCTTCATGTTTATCAGTTAATTCTTCATTAATAATATTTACCAAGGATAGGATTGCATCGAAATACTTATTTGATATCATTGATAAATATTATCCCGTTGAAATGATCAATGATATATTTAATACAAAACACCGCATTCTATTCTATTTCTTCCTTGTATTGGACATTTTAGTATTTTGGCTACTTGAATTTGAAGTATCTTCGGAAATTCTGTATTCTCTATTTTAAATTTCAGCTAACACTCTCTATCATTTTAAAATTTAACTAAGACCCTCCTATTCCTATTTTAAATTTTGCCATAGTGTAGTAAATTGAATGTTTGGAAATCTATAGTATTCTCACATATTCTGAAAAATAAATATTTTAATTACTCTTTCTTCTTTATTATTTGTGACAGTCCAAATAACACATTTCATATTCCAACATTTACCCAAAATATACCTGAAATATGTGATACCATTGGACACAACACTAAAACTTTATAAGAAAGTACAATGTTTGAAAAATAGATTAATCTTCCAGTTTTTATCGTTTGCAATGATACTGTAATGCAAAAAAAATTGTTTTAAATTTTAAGCATTTTATAAAATTTTGAAGAAAAATAAATCGAAATTTTTATTGAAAAAAAGAAGTATGATGAGCGAATTTGTTTGTCATTTAGATGGATCAATAGTGCTGCAGCAGCTGTCAATTTGTTTATCATCAAATTTCATTGATTTTAGTTGAAGTGCCCAATTCATGTTCAATAATAATGATAAGCGATAACACTCATTGTGTCTTTTTGAAGATATCATTAAGTTTCTTATATTAGATTTGAGCTTTTTTTTATTCTTATCAAATATAAATGATGAAAAATTTTAAAAAATGGACGAAATTTTTGAAATATGAAAATTTAATTTGTTGTAAAAAGAAACAAACACAAAATGCTATTGAAAAGTTTATTTTACGTAGGATTTTGATTTCTCATTTTAGCACTTATTTCTCTTTTTATTTTTCTTAGACTTTCAGTTCAATTTTCACGGAAATTTAGCAAAACTTTAGAATTGCTTTCTTATTATTCAATGTATGTATTATGTATTTGTTAGTGTCCATCTTTTTCTCATTTTAATGAAGAAAACAAATATTGAATGTGGTTGTTGAATATTTCATTCCTTACAATATCACTATCATTTTAGTTAATGATAATTATGTCGATTTTGCAGCCGAATTGTTTGTTGTAATTCAAACTATTAAATATAAACTTTGAAAAATTTTCCATCAATATGAATGGCCTAAAAACAAATTCTAACGTAGAATCATTCTTCTTTTATTTTGGAAAGGTACTATTATCCTTTATTCATATGAAAATTTTAGATAAATATTGAAAAACTGCTATCTTCAGCCTTTTTCGATGGAAAAATTGAATGAATATTGCAAGTTAATTAATTAATTGATGAAGTGATGAAGAGATGGATGAATGAAACAATTCATCTCAGATAGATTCTATGATTGAATTTTGAAAATTCATTGTTTAAATTTGCAAGTTCTGTTTTGAAAGCATAGCGTAATTAATCTCAGTGCTTCTCTTGATTGAAATCTTTTTTTTGCATTGCAAAAATTTCCATTCATTGATTTATGGACAAACGTACAGATAGACGTTCATAACACACATAGATAGAGAGAGAAATATAAACACACACACACACACACACACACACACACACACACACACACACACACACGTCATTTCAGCGAATGTTTACAACAATGTGATAACTTGAAAGTTTTGTTTTGAAATTCAATATTAATTAAATGAACGGAACGGAACTTTGGCTGAAAAGAACGATGGGTGGAGTGAAGAGCGTACGGTATCGTTGCAGAGTGTTTGTCATGCATTTGTTGTTAGTAATATAATGTTATACTTTAACGGAACATTTCCCGTTGAAACGGGATAATACAGGATATTCATTCTCTTCCATCCATTTCTCTCTCTCTTCCTTTTCCTATTCATGGAATAAGATTTTTTGCGTCACAACGGTAACAACTTTATCGATTGATTATATTATGAGGAAAGTTAATGTGTGCAAAGTTGATGCCCGATATTCTTCATTTTAAACTCGTTCATTCTTTTCACGACATAAATGTTTCAGAACATTAGATGTGTACAGTTCCCTATTAAGAGGGGAGGGGGAAAGTGATTAGGTGATAACAAATGGCGATGACCTTTCGCGGGAAAAGATGAACAAATATGCTGCAAAACATTTGACAGGGAATGTGCAAGACTATGCTTTACATTAGAGTACGGCGGAGAATATGTCCTAATAAGTTTGTGAGAAGAAAGTGCTCAGTGTATATTTCATTGATGGATAACTGAGTGCACCTGTTCTCTTTCTCTTTCACTTTCTCTTTCTTACCTTTATGTATTTCATCTCTTTTTGTTATTTCAATGAAAAGTCAGGTTGAAAATTGAACGATGTACTTTGAAAAATGATGAATTTCAGTAGAAAAAGCTTGAGACGAATTTCAGTTTAAAATTCTTTTCGAAAATAGTATGAAAAGAATGAGATAAAAAGCTTTAAGATAATAAAACCTTTAAATTCATAGACCCTATTGTCATTAATCCCTCTCTCTCTCTCTCTCTCTCTCTGATATCATTCGTTTAAACGAGAAACAAAAATTGTTTTTATCGCTTCCCGTTATCCTTTCTTTGTATACGAAAGGAAGATAAATTATTCGTATTTAAAGCTAACTTTGTGCGTGGAAAAAATGTAACGCTTGTTATGTAAGTAACACCGTATCTTTACCAATTTCATATACTTTGTAGTCGTGCTTATTTGAGAGTTTTTTTTAGTAATTGAATTAAGTGTTTTGGAAATTTCGAGCTATTAGAAAAACTCGAAATGATATGAATTTCACAATTAATGTTCAGTATAGTTTACTGGAAAATAGAAACATAAAAACAGTTACTCAGTTCATTCTAATTTCCATCCTTATCTCCTAGCCATATTATCGTTCAGATAAAATCATATGTAACACTGCTTAATAGTTCTATCGAAAATTACTATCAGACGCAAAAATGATAAATTGATTATCGTATGAAAAAAGTTACTCCTTAAACGGAAATTGTCTGGAAGACAACTTCTAGCTAATCAATAATACCATTACATTTAATATAATTCGATTAAAAGATTGGTTACAGTAGTATAAGTCAGATTGGCACTATTAACTAGAGCCGGAAGCAGCAGCTTCAGCAAAATCCTCCCGAAATTAGAAATTGACTGTTAAATTTGCGTTTTCCAGGAACAACATCACAGAATCTTGATTTTAAACAGCCAACAAAAGTGATGGCAACTGATAATGGCCAACCGTGGCGTCAAATAACTGTAAAAGAAGAGCAAAGTGCGGACTATTACCGGTTCGTACCTTCACATTACCTTTCACTTACTTTCAGTATGTCTGCACGTTTTAAAAATTATAGCTGAAAAAAAAAACAATCTGGTTGTGAACATTTATATTATATATGTTAAGATGATCATGTGTGAAATACCTGCCGGTGTCGGAAATACTTCCTCAATTTTATAGTTATGATATCACAAAAATCGGTGAAATAAGATATAATTTCACTTTTCTCTTGTCTTCTCTATATCCATTTTAATATTATAGAATGCTAAAAAGTTTCTATCATTTATATTTTTATTATTTCCAAATACCTAAGTTAATAATTTCTGTAAATGATGTAGCCTTAAAAAGTGTGAAAAGAATCACCAATTCCTATCCTTCCATCGTACATTGAGAGTTTGTTGAATTAAACTTTGAGCACACAAGCACTCAAAGTTGAGGATTAAAACTTTTCGTTATATTCTTTTGAAATTCAATTTATAAATGTTTCATTTTGCTTAGTAATAGAAATAAGCAGAAGATAGTTTTGTTTCAATGAAAGGGTGAAAGTAGAAGAAAAATTCTATATTCCAAAAAGCCATGCAACAATTTCAGTTCGAACTTTAAATTTTTCAAATATACAACTATGACTCATCCCTCCCTTCGTTCTCTTACACTCAGGAACACATAAAAATCCTCGTTTTTAGAAAAAGGAAAAAGACTGCAAACTTGAAGTAATTAAAATGTGATCGTTGATCTGCACTTTTCTCTCTAACGAATAAGAGTTTTTATTTATTATTTTTCATCTCATCTTGTCAGAGAGTGCTAATGAAATGTTCGTATGTATCGTAACACTATCGATCGAATGAACTTTTGAAATCATTGAAACTAACTAGGAAGACAACAATATTTTGTTGAAACTTGACATTGTGAGAATAAAGATCCCTTCACTTGATGTAATCATAATTAATTACACTCTACTAGATGTGTTAAACTTTTCTATAAAATTCTCAAATATTTATTATTGGAAATTTCAATAGATGGTATATCATGCATTTGGGAAAGTAATCGACGTTAGATTGAATTGAATTGAATTAGATCGAATGATGAAAATGGAGAGCAAAGGTTATAAGATACGAAGTTCGAGGAAATATGATGAAATGGATTATCAAAATTTATTCATCCTATGAATGTCTGTGCGATACTCTTCCTCTCCGACATTGATGGTGCTAGCGGTAGCGGTAAGATTCAGAGGGGCTGCTGAAGTTAAGTGACTGCTGGTGATTTCAACATAAATAAGGGACTGGCTGAGAGTTGCTAGAATAGATGGGAGCTGTTGGCTTGTCAGCATGTACTTATGCTGGACATGTCGAATGGAGAAGAGCGGAGAAAGGAGTGGAAGAAGGGACAAGAGTGATTTGCCTGTATGGATATTATTGGCGATAATAACGATGATGATGGTAGTGGTGGGTGGTGATGGTGCATGGTGGATGTTTTATGATGGTAGATATTTTTGGAGGGATCCCTTGTGCTTATTCATCCTGCTTATAGCCCGTATAAGAAGGAAAACTACTAAGATATGAGGTCACTGCAGCACAACATTAACGACAAGGAAGTAATGTCGAAATGTCTCAATGATTGTGTTGATTCAATTTCGTTAGTTTATTTCCCACTAATTATTTTTGCAAACTATAGCAATTACTTTTATCATCCTACTTATTAGATTACTTATTTATATATATCAGCCTTCTTATCAATCTGTTCTTTTGTTGTTGTTGTTATTGTTGTTGTTGCTGTTGTTACTCGGTTTAGTTATAATGAAAATAAATAATCATATCTTAGTAATTAAACAGGCCTATAGAATTCAATAACATTTTTCAAATCAGTACTAGGTTTGATAGTGCTTCAAATGGAGCGCTATTGCCTGACTATTCCATCGGTCAACTCTTACTAGAAGCAATTCGTTTCCAATTCGATCAAAATCTTTTTATCTCGTTTTATTAGTAATCGTTACGGCACATTTCATTTCTAAGATTTGCAAGAAAGTTGCCAATATGGAAGATGAATTTCGGTTATTTTTTATTCATCTAATGTTAGAAAAATGGTTTCAGTTTAAAATTTAGGGCAATTGAGTGTATTTTAGGAGAAATGATTGGTTTTTTGGATTCACATTATTCCATTTATTAAAGCCGATAAATGTAACTTTTCAAGTGCTTTTTTTAGATTTATTAATCTTCCATGTGTATTTGTAAAGAGATGTTTTTAATACTAATAGAGAGAGAGAAAATGGTAACACCGGTAAAATCAGTGAGGAAAAATTTTCATCATTGAAAGATGGTGATATAAATATTTAATTTTGTTATTACTTGCAACATACATAAATATATCTTGCAGACAAGAACAGAAAGTAACATCATTACCAGAAAGTACAAATTTGGAACATCTGTGCAAATTAAATATTCGCGAACAGCCATGTATCCGGAAAACTGGAATAATTTGTACCATTGGTAAGTATGGATCATTATTTGATGATCAAACTGTTATATGTGACAAAAGATGGTGATATAAATATGTTTAACTTTTTAATAATTCTAGGACCAGCATGTCGAAGTGTGGAAAAATTGCAAGAAATGATTATCAATGGAATGAATATTGCTCGCATGAATTTCAGTCATGGAACGTATGAAGTAAGAAATATCTGGCCGGTGCCTAATCATTATTGGACGAAAAATCGTAGTTATGCAAATGCATATGGGATTTAAAATAGTAATATAAATAAGAATTCGAATTCAAGTTAATAAAAATACTGAATGGGAAATCTTTTTTATCCGCTTCTTTTAATTTCAGTATCATGCACAAACAATAGCGAATGTTCGAGCAGCAGCACATAGCTTCAGCGAGCCACGATTGGTCGCAATTGCTCTCGATACAAAAGGTCCAGAGATACGAACCGGTCTTCTAGAGGGGGTCTGTAATTTTTCTTATGTTCAATCTTTTGAAACTGTTTTATGTAACAGAAGTGATAATTAATAGCTATGCATTTTAAAATTAAAGAGAAAATTTTCAAGTTTTTAATATTCAGGGTGGTAGTGCAGAAGTGGAATTGGTGAAGGGAAGTCAAATCCGACTAACTACTGATCCAACCATGGAAAATTTAGGGACAGCACAAAAGATTTTCGTTGATTACAAGAACATCACTAAAGTTGTCAGTGTTGGCTCGCATGTCTTTATTGATGACGGTCTCATTTCATTAATCGTCGCTTCCATTGGTGAATTGTCATTTTTTGACCAGACGAAGAAATTGAAGTGTTTATGATTTATTAAACTTGGAGACATCTAGTGGTGATAGGAATTTTCAGTCTTGTAAACGAATTTACTGCTTACTTGTTTTTTCGGAAATCTCTTTTGAAAAATCCTTTTTCACAGGTTTTCCAGATTTTTGGGGAAAAGTATTATGTGACTATTTTAATTTAATGTATATTCTTTTATCATACTATAACGTTACAACTCGAGTAAATGCAGACTGAACTGCAAATCCGCATTTCTTCGCTCAAGTTTTTATCTGCTCCATTTATCACTTAATCACTCGCTGTATTAGGTTATTGCATACTCAATCCTATCAGTTCATTCCTTTTTTAATATTTGTTTTGAAAATATAAATTCAGTCGCAGATTTCTTTGTAAACTTATAAGATTTTCAGAAGATGACAGTATACTATGTACCATTGAAAATGGCGGTATGTTGGGAAGCAGAAAGGGTATTAATTTACCCGGTACATTGGTTGATTTGCCAGCCGTGTCTGAGAAAGATATCAAGGACTTGCAATTTGGTGTGGAGCAGGTATTCATCAAAAATTGATTGCTAAACTGAAAATTAAAATATAGTAAAGGAGGCTTACTTTCACGGATAGCTTGTCATAATAAAGATATTTTTTTTGTAATAACGATGTTGAAAACGAAGGAAGCTCTAGGATTATGTAAATCTGAGTTTTATCGCTGTGAAATTTTTGAAATAATTTACAAGAAAAATTGTTAGCGCATATGTTCACTTTACCAATCAGAATTAAGTGAAGGAAGTAATTCATCGTTGTGTTTCAGAATGTAGATATTGTTTTTGCATCATTCATACGCAGTGGTAAAGGTATCAGCATGATAAGGAAAGTGCTTGGTGAGAAAGGAAATCACATTAAAGTCATAGCAAAAATCGAAAATCAAGAAGGTGTTGATAAGTAAGATTTCTTATTCTTTAACTATAATAGATTGTACTTGAAGTTGTAAAATAGAAGTTTAAAATTACAAGTTTTATGTTGTAATGCTCAAACATACATTGTCACATCTCTGAGTTCTTAGTTCTGAGTTCTTAATGGTTTCAAAAAATTAAAGTTTAGAAGACAAAGTGTCAGTTTTTCTAGAGCCGATGAAATTATTGAAGAAGCGGACGGTGTTATGGTTGCGCGCGGAGATTTGGGTATTGAAATTCCACCAGAAAAGGTATTTTTGGCGCAGAAAATGCTGATTGCCAAGTGTAACAAAGCGGGAAAACCGGTCATCTGTGCTACTCAAATGCTTGAATCGATGATAAAGAAGCCGAGACCAACTCGTGCTGAAGGTTACTGATTTGCATTTTATATTGTGATATTGAGCTTTGAGATTTTCTTGAATTGATGTCGGAAAAATATAGAGTATGAATAGTCAATTGTTCATGTTTGTGTAGTAGTAGATGCATTATTATTTAGAATGCATAGCTTTAAAAGTAGCTGAATAAACTTTTTAACACTTTTAATTATTTGAAATTTTTTCAGGTAGTGACGTTGCGAACGCAGTTCTGGATGGAGCTGACTGTGTGATGCTTAGTGGTGAAACTGCTAAAGGTGATTACCCGTTAGAAGCTCTCAAAATCATGCATCAGGTAATATTCTGGTAGTAAGCAATAAATAAATGAATCTCCATCTTACTATGAAGTTGCGACTATGAAAGGAGTTCTTTTGACTGAGATTGCTTTTTTCTGATGACAGCACATTTGTATATTTTGCTGTTATCGAGAATTCGGCAGTTTTGTTAAATTACATATGATCTCTCAGTTCAGGAACAGGATAAGTGCACTGCTTTAAGATAATTTATTTCTAGATCTGCAAGGAAGCAGAAGCAGCACTGTATCATACACGATTTTTCGAGGAGCTTCTGCATGTAACTCAAAAACCGACGGATATTGCGCACACTGTTGCTATTGCAGCAACTTCTGCTGCGACATCTTGCCATGCCAGTGCAATGATTCTGGTCACTACTACTGGACGGTTCGTTTTTCATTTTTTTTAGCGTTGTCAAGTGGAAATATGAATATATATTCAAAGAGATGAGGGTTTCTGGCAATCTCAAATCATTGATTAAGTGAAACGAAGTTTTACTTGGTGACCAAAAATCTGGTATTACTTGCGTTACTATATGTGCTGTGTTGAAATATTAGATATAAGAACATTGTAAGCAAGTAAAGCTGAAATAGTTAATAGTCTTTAGTCGAGCATTTCTAACAGAATTCTTCAAAATGTAATTACTAACTTCGTTCAGGTCTGCTATTTTGGTATCTCGTTATCGACCAATGATGCCTGTCTTTGCAATATGCCGGGATGGACATGTTGCTCGACAGCTTCATCTTTGGCGTGGTATATTCCCACTTCTTTATGGAGGTAAAGTACTGAACTTTTCTCTCGAAAACTATTTGTATGTGTAATTCAGACACCAAAGTGTGAGTTAAAGGTTGAGTGCAAGACTAATTGAAATTGATTTCAGCAAATCGAGAGAGTGAATGGGCGAGCGATGTCGATGCTCGAATTAATTATGGCATTTCAGCTGGTAAGAATCGCGGTTTTATCAAGAAGGACGACTTGGTGGTTGTCATTACTGGCTGGAGACAAGGTTTCCTTGTTGTTTTAATTCTTATGAGCTTGAAGACATTTTTTGTTTCTTAATCATTATTCATTAAAATCCTAAATTCATTTACAGTCGCATATTAAGTGTGAAACAAGCGTACTTATCATTAAAAAGAAAGCGAACATCGACGAGATGAAATGGATCCCGTCATATTTTAGACCAAATTAATAATGATTTTCTTATGTTATTTAAATAGAGGAAAATTTTTCCAGGTGCCGGATACACGAACACATTACGCATCATCAAGGTACCATAAATAATGATGGCATAGTCGCAGTTCATTTTCAGTTTAACTTGTTTATTCTCTTGAAGTTCCCAGCTCATTTCCGACTCTCGATTACTATTGTCTCCTGTTAACAACAATCTCTGTCCCTAATTTCTCCTTCTTCAATATGTTATTTCTAAAACTACACATTTTCGTTATTAGACTTCTGAAGTAGGTTATGGATTACGGTTTAATGAATCTACTTTACGCAGTATTCTAAGATAACGCTACATTTCTCCGATTTTTTTGAGCATGAGGAAAATGTTCTTGCTTACAGCCGATGCTATTTAGGTTTTAGTTTAATAATCTTTGGATGATTTCAGTAAGATTGGATAAATTTCTGCCTGCAATATTTTTTTCTACAGCCCCCAAATTTGATGCTGGTGCAGAGGTTCTGCTCATAAATTATTTTCCTTTAATTCTTTACAAATAATTATAGAGCATTTTTTTTGCTTAGAGCATCTACCAATTGACAGTTGATGAAAAATATTCCTGCTAGTTCTAATTTCATATGAATCTTGTTTCATTTTTCTAAGTGTGTTGTTCCACTTAGGAATATTTTTATACATGCTCGGCAGTACTCATTGCTTTAAATATAGCTTGGTTCATTTTCTGGCTTAAAACCAGCAAAAAACCCAGAAATTTTGTTGTATCAATAGTTCTTCACTAGATTTAATAATCTAGCAATATTTTAATTGGAGTACCACAAAACACTCCATGACAGATTAAATATGAAAGGTAAATCTCAAATTATAAGCCTTGCTTCTTTAACTGTTTCTACTTTGTCATATTAACGCTAATACAAGTAATTTTGTTTTGTGAACTCTAAAATATTACTATGAATATGAACATATATTTTATGCTAAACGAATCTCGTACATATTTTCGATCATTTGTTCTGTTTCTCACTCCGTTAGAATTTATATTTTCAATAATTTCGAATGTTTTTACAATTTAGTGCGACTTAAGCTACAATTTTCATTATTTTGCTTCATTCAGGATTAATTAGAAGAAAGTCTTTGTATCTTTTCTTTGTCATTTAAAAGAGTATAAGTTTTTCAGTTTGGATTATCAGTAGAACTTCAATAAACGATTTATTGCTATCTCTCCACTGTAAATATGAAAGACTGGAGACATACAGCATCGAAAACAAAAAGTGCACGAAGTTCCACTTCAGAGCAGATAAGGAATGGAAATAAGTTAATATTGGAAGGATGATCAGACTACAAATATATTGAGATTTCTTGGTATAGGACTAAAGAGTTCACAACGAACTGAAATTTCAAGATAACTTCGATTCTCGCTAACTTCTCATTTTCATACCTTTCGTTCCTATTTAAACACAGAAATTGTTTAGATATCATGATTAGCATCAATATTAATCATGTAATCATGTGATGTTAATATTGCTGGCCGCTAAATTTCTATTAGTCCTCTATCGTATGAGAAGGATGCGAATTCATCACTACCCAAATCCGTTGCATTTATTGAAACTTTACATGCTCATATTTTGTGAATTTTATCACATCCGAATACAGCGAGATTGTCGAATTTGAACATTTAGATATGCTGTAGACAATCGTTAAGTTATTAGGAAAAGGAAAATAAATGTGGCGATGATAACAAATCACTTTTCTATTTGTTATGAAAACTGGGAAATCTATTCCACTGAAATTCAGTACTGACGACGATTACCAGTCCATCTGTACATGATGTTTGTATTTCGGAGAGTCCGCCTACCAGTCGTTCTTTCAGTTTTTTGTTTGTAAAATTGTCTTAACTTTCCTAAGAACTTAAAAGTTTATAGCCACAGCAAATCAATTAAGGCATTATATATTTTCATTCTTCAAATTATCAACAGGCCAAGTGTTAAAGGTTAATTTATCAAAATTTCTGATGTTCTAATTGAAAACAGTTCTATTTGCAGGATTTGTAACAGAAGTTCACATGCTAGACTTACTTTAATCTAAAATTCATTGTTTAAAACTCCACATATAGAGATAACATATTTATTCCTTTGTAAGATGCGCAGTAGGTCTTCAGCATCCCTTGATTATTTCGTTTTTAATCTTAGATTATAGAAAAAAATAAGGATCAGGCGCAAAAGGACTCGGAGCATGAGGGATGGAACGAAGATAGATATCATATAAGAGATTTTAGGCAAGGAGATACCTCAGAATAAATCTCAGGTATATCTATAATTAAACATCCAAGCATGTATATCGGAAAACAGGAGTTCTATGTATAACAGGAAAATTTGAAATAATTTTTTGGTCGAGAAATTAGTTCAAATTAAATAAAATTATTTAATAAAACACATTTGATATATTTTTGTATGCTCTTCTTATTTATATAAGACCACCATTCTAGCTATAGTTTTTACTACATTTCAAGTGATGGATGTTATGATCAATTTGATATGAACACAATACTTTTTAATTTCAGTCATCAAGATCATTCTGGATTTAATTTATCAACGTAACCAGAACTAATTGCATACATGCCTGGAATTATTATTAATGGTATTAAAAACAATCGAAGTAAGATTAAGACATGTTTTGATGACATGTTTTAATAACTCTTCCAGTAAACGTGAATTATGAAAATTTATTTAAAATTTAGTTTATACTTCAACTAGTTGTGTGAGTAGACTGAAATAATGCTTTTTTTCATGTACAAACTAACGTCCTCAATATCATAGAATAAAAATAAAAAATATACTTGAAGTATTAAAAAAGCTTTAATCGGAATTGTTCTGGATACCAAGGGATATGAAATTTGAATCGAATTTACCGATGGAGTAAATGTGCAAGTTTACAAAAGAAAAAGGTTCCCAATGTGATTTGAATTCTAAAGTTACGCAGAGTGTTCGATTATTTTGAATTTAATCACAGAATCTAATATTGTAGTAGAATTGGAAAAAGGCA